ACTTTGCTGTGGATTTTAGTCCCTCTGAAAATGTAAACAAAAAAACTTTGTCCCAAACACACATGGCCAACACTCCCAGGACTTCTGGAACATCCAACTGTTGGGTAGGTTGAGGAAAGATGGCAAAACACAGCTGGAAGCTGAACATGAGAAATGTGCTCTCTCTCTCTCTCTCTCTCTCTCTCGCTAGATGATGCAAATTAGAGTACTCTGTTCTTGTATCTCGCTTTCTACATATTTTCCAGACAGAACCTTTTTTATTTTGTGACATATTTTGTTACAGTAGTAGAAACCAGAGTTCTTCTAAGTAGTTCTACACCTGAGATCTTGTCACATATGCAATGCTGTTCTTTCCATCACTAATTAATTTCTCTGTTCTTTATTATGTATGGTAAATTTCTTCCAGTGCATATCTCCTGGGAAGTATTTTCCTAAAGTCTTTAACCAGTTAATATTTGTTAGAACTTTCATTATTAAACTTTTTTTCTGCCTAACACAGCTTCTGCCTGGGTCCTAATAAAACAGCACAAAGACCAAAAAACTTGCAGTACCTTAACTTTTAATTTGACCTCCATTAGTGAGGCGTCTGCCTGCATTTATAGCAGGTTTGGACATATTCAGAATTGTGGAGGAGTTATGCATATTAGTAAGGATCAAAAATAGTAATGTCTATGGACCAAAGTAATGCAGTGATGGCCCTCCCCCTCCTGTTGCTCTACAATGCCAGTCAACCTGCAGAACAAAGGCTGTGACTTGTTTCCCATTCTAAAAATTAGGGCATATAAGGCCTCCATTTTGAAGAGCACACAGTTAGAAACGTTTCTGTTAAGAACCAACTGCTTAAAAAACAAGCAAGCTACAGTATTATCAGCTTGCTATACTCTTGAACAAATATTAGGCTTACTTGAAAGCTACTAATGTGAAAGGGGGACCTAGATTTGCTCCAAATGATAATAAAAAAAATAATTACAATAATTATAATAATTAATACTAGAAGCTGGAAGAGTAGATGTTTCTATCTGTTTAAAAAAGTTAAGATTATTATACCAGTTTTGCTTTAAATTTTAGTGTAAATAGACACACCTCAGTACTTTTACTCTAGTTTTGCATATGCAGTGAGTAGACATGCATTCATGTCTACTCAGATCACTTTTACATTCACTTGTATGATTTACTAAATTATGCAAGTGAAATTCTTACATTATCCTATTTAGTGTTTAGCCTCAGATCCAGATCTGAGTGTGTGATTAGACAGACTTCTTGTCTTTGATCTCCTGCATCAACTTTTCAGGAAGTCGGATTTAGCAGTGACCTTTGACCCCAATCATCTTGTTGCGTTCCAATGTTTAAAGGCTGCTCTCTCTCTCTCTCTCTCTGATGGCACGTCTGTTTTACCTTCATTGCTGTTTTACCTACTTCCACTGGAGACCAAATGTGATAACTTGATCCAGCTCCTCCTTAAACTCAGTAAAAGTCACATCTTAATTTGCAGGATTAGTTTATATGGATCCGGTTCAAACTCAAGGAAACATATCAAATCAGTATGAATGGCTGTTTAAACTTGTGTTTTAATTCATCTCTGCTTCATCAAATGTAAACAGAGCCACAGCGTGAACAAATGAAAACTAAAGATGTCATTCCAATACATATACCTTAAGCTCTGGAGGTCAAACCATCTGTAAATAGATGTATTCTTTAATTAAACCAAAGAAACTCCAAACCTACTGAATTTTCTTTTTAATAGCCAAATATTCTCCACAATCACTCCATCAATTTCAAACTCAGCTAAACAAACATCTTAGTATAATCTGCTTTGGGGATATTTGTCAAATATCTGTGTGGACTTTACATGTGCACATTTTTTAAATTGCCGCACTTCCAGCTTAGGTCAAGAAAGAGCATGTAATGCCACATCATTTTTGATTCCTTCTTTCACTCCCCCACAGTTTCATTTTTTTTTTCTATAATAGACAAACGATATTGAAACATTTAAATAATTAAAGAATAATTCATTCATGGAAGCTCAACCCATTTTTTTTCACGCAAACTTAACCATCCATCATTTTCAGCACCATTGCCTTTGAATCCAAACAAAAAAAAACATTTAAATAATAGTAGGTCGAAACCTTCAGTGAAGCTTAGGGATTAATGGTAAAAGTCTGTTATTATTACTTGATCTTTAGATCACGTGGCACTCACTGACTTTTCCTTACACAGCAGATGAAAGACCAGATGTTGAGACACCGTGGTAGGAAATCTTCATCTGCCAAAGAAATCCAATTCAAATAATAGAGAAAATATATACATTACATAAAACACAAACTCGCCAAGAGCAACCAAGTATAAAAAGGATAAAAAAAAATAACCAAAGGAAATAATGATGACCATAACTGCAAAAATACTGGATTGACACACATTACATTTTCAGGTAGGCACAAGGTCAAGAGTGTTCACATTACACCAGCATGACCAGTTTGAGCATCCATTCTGAAAGAGGGAATCCATTCATTAAGGCATACCTGATGACCATTTTTCAATATTTCAAATAACTTAACTTCAGAATATCATCATTTATACATTATGTTTCAGGAATCATCACTTCATTTTACATCATAATCATTTTACTAGAAAAGTAAAGCAACATTTTAAACTCAGTCCACTTTGCTTCGCCACCATAGTTCACATTTTCATTTTTTAAACCTTCAATCCAGTTTGCACAGCTACAAGAAAAGTCCACATTTGCATTATTAATACATTACATTTTTATACATAGAAACATACAACGAGGGGAGGCTTGGAAGTGGCTTGGCACGTTGTCATGCTTGACCAGTCTCCTACAATCTAAATAAATACGCAAGACACAGTAAAACAGGTCTTTTCCCGTACACGGCTCTCCCTTTAAGCGACGGAGCCTTTGATTGACACTAATCGTCCCGCGAAAAAGGAGAGCATGCCCAGTGCGCCGACGTGGAAAAGTTTAGATTCTCAATTCACTTTTCTTATGCTGGTACCAGTTATTCACAGTGACTAAAAAATTAAATCACAGGGGGAAGTCTGTACAAGGTAAAAAAAAAAGAAACTGCAGTCTTAATGATGTTTGGCAACACTTTCTGTGTGTTTTGTGAGAGAGTTTGCGGTCAGCCATTTTATTTTGGATTTGTTGTTGAAATCCTCAAAACACACCGACTCCATTAGAGCTGAACACACACCACTGAGGGAAGGCGAGTATCGACGGGAAGTTAAGATCACATAAAGGAGACGTAATCCTAATCTTTGACAGTTTGAACGGAAAACAGTATTTTCACATGTCCAGTGTTACACTGATGAAAGGAAAAGTGCAAGAAAACATGGAAGAACACAAGCAAAGGTTTAGCTTAGAGATGCACCGATCAGAGAAATGTGGCTGATATCCAATTTTTTATTTACTTTAATGGCTATATTTAGCTTTCCTGCAGTGAGTGGAGGATTGGTATTTAGTACCTTTAGGTTATTGGTTGCTTAGAATTTGACCTATTTGAGTATGAAATAGTGCAGAACATTTTGTACTCGTAAAAAGGATGTTTAGCACCGCTTTGGGAACCCATGATTCAAAGTCGGTTTCTGTTGTCGGCTCCTAATCTGCTGTAGAGAGGTTGTACCATGACTAAATAAAGAATAAACACAAGCAGGTCACTTTGAATTAGTTCAATTTGATCATAGTATGTTATATTTCAATAGAGTCAACTGATTCCAATAGCAACTAGAGCTAAAATAAGAAGGGATTTAAAAATTTGGGATTTGAGATTTTTGTATTTCTCTAAAAATAAAACATATAGATATGCAGTGATTTAAGTAGCAAACATGGATAGAAAATGAAAGCATGAAGAGAGGAACTATTGTGCAATGGGTTTTTAAATTCAGCTTTATCAAACTTAGTACTTTATCAAAGTATATTAGCAATTTGCAAATCAAGCACAGTCATTAATATGACAACAGTATTTCTGTTCTTGTCTTTCAGCATTGATTAGATAATGAATTACCTGTGTGAGTGAGAAAGAAATCCTATAACATTAGCACGGCTAACATTACTGATATCACAGTGGTACTGTCCTGTTTTTTGTTTGAAACACTATGGAACAGGATTTTACTGAAATTATCAAGCCATTTGTTTTGTCATTTAAAATATCTTATGTTAAAGAAGATCAGCGTTAGTAAAGCAGCCTCTGTGTGCTTTTCTCTGAGGAGCCGCAGCTCTTCAACTCTTTAGGATGAAGAAAACTGACGTTTTAAATGGCAGTACAATAGAAATCTGTCTTTTGTCAATTAGGTGAATTATCTCATTGAAACAAAAATATAAAAAAATAGGCAGTTGATTTAGTTTTCACTCAGAGGTATTGTTAAATATTTTTTTTTTTTCAAATAGGACTTGAATGAACTGGCAGACACCCTAAAATTACTAAATATTAAGTTACAGGTAAAATATTTTAAGGGGATTTAAATAAGAATTTCCTAAGGGACTGTGGCTGCAGAAAATAAGAAGAAATAAATGTTCACTGTTTCCCAATAAACTTTAGCATGGTTCTCATTCCTAGTTCCACATTCTTACTTAGTAGGTAAACTAAACACAGCATAAGTAGTTAGAGAATCGTTTTCCTGAAAGCAGAAATTTTCAAACATTTCCAAATCCTGCTTCTCACATTTTGGAAAGACTGAAAACTCAAAATCATAAAACAAATGAAAAATCTGTGCTGTGATAATCTCAGGCTTCCTGCTGTTTGTCTGATGGTGATTTTATTTTTTAAAGAAACATTCCTAACAGAAACTGAACTTCTTTAGCAAACAGTTAATTATTTTACTCAAAACAGATTTTAAAACAACCAAAAGTTCAGACATATGAAACGGAGATGAAACAAAATGCAAATTGCTCTCTTCTACTGCTTCCTTTTAATTTGAATTATTCTTAAATACGTAACTGTGACTCTTTTTCCATCATTTACTTCGATACCGAATGGTGTTGTTAGATGGATCTGTATGTTTACTGCTTGGAAACGACTCAATATCTGAGGTTTTAATTGAGCGTTCACCTGTAAAGCGGTGATCAATGAAACTATGACTGCTTTAATCACCACACGGTGCATCTTTTTCGGTGCATCTCTAATCAAGGTGGTAAGAATATTTTGACCCACTGCTGTCACTCTAAAGCAATTACCACTATTGGTCAGATCCATCAAACAGAAACAAATATTGTTAAATACCATAAATGCATCCCCCCTGTGAAGCCCTAGCTGTAAAATAAGAGCTGCCGTTCAGGCCAGCAGGAGGAGACCTTCTACAGTTATGGCTGCTACAGTAGTGAGGTTAGAAGATTAGCAGCTACAGGCAGTCATGAAAGGAAGCTGAAGCTGTTTATTCCTGCCAGAGTCTGAGTCTTCAAGGAGAGGTATCGCAACCTTTTTGGGGTTTCCTCTTTATGCTGCTTTTAAAAAAAAAGAAAATCCCAGAAGAGCAAGCAGTTTGATTTTTTTTTAACCTTCCTTTTTTTTCCAAGTCCCTTTGTTAATCTTTTCTTTAAAAAAAAAAGAAAAAAACATTACTTACATACAGTACTACTGAGAGGTGAAGATAGAGGATGATGTTGTTACATAACAGACCTCGCTCTTAGTCCAGTCAGGTCAGTAAGCGTCTTTAAATCTTTTTAAGTAGAGGGCTGCCTGCAGACTTAAAACTGTTGTTTTTACTTTTATTTTAATTTCAGGCCAACCTTCCCATCTGTGCCACACAGAAACCACACTCTACATGTATGCCAGAGAACAAAGCAATACTACTGTTCATTTATATTACTGCTGATACTGCTTACTATGTTTTATACACTTTTGTTAATTTTCCATTAGACACCACTAAACATGCTATACAGTGTCTCTCTGTCTTAATTGAAAACCTCTTATGTAAGTGCTACTTAGCAGAGCTTGTCAAGTATTTGAAGCAAGGAACACGGGCATATACACACGCAAACATACACACACGCACACACTCCAAGAGGAGCTCTCTACAGCAGCCTGTGCAAGTCAGTCTACTTTTTTTTTTTCTCTTTTGCATACTTCTTCTCCAGCAGGCAGGACCACGCTTGCCTGCATGTTTTAACTTTTGCAGCTATCAATACATGATCAAGAGATGGCGTTGAGCATGGAGGCGCTCTGCAGGATTTGCATCGTCAAGCAGCAAGGGGACCTAACAGGGTTTGTTGACGTTGCACAGCAGCTCAGTGACTTTGATGAGGCGGGCCACTGTGCTCTGCGACTCCTCCTGCAGCCGCTGGTTGTTCTGCCTGAGGCTCTGCACCTCGGCCTGCAGCACCGCCTTGTCCTCTTTCTCCTGAAAAACATCGGCACACAACAAAAAACAGAAGCTGTCGCTCAGATTGCTGTGGCAGGAACAAGAGGTGTGTGTGTAGTGGGGGGGTTAGGTTTGGGTAGGGGGCGACAGGTACAGTGATGGCTGGAAGGAAGGAAGGAAGCTCGCGGGCGTGCATAAACAAGAGATGCGACAGTCAGAGCAGAGACGCACAGCAGCGAGAGGGAATAAACACGCAATCCATAACTTCCAATCAGCTGATCCGATCACTTCTCTGACAGGAAGACGTTTTGTTTTGATTCGGGTTAATTGGGTAAAAAACAACCAAACTTTAGCTGTTTTTTGTGTTGCATATTGTTTATTAAATCAATTCTTTAAGGGCTGGGGATGAAATGAGCAAGCACCTTATCAGTCAAAATGTGTGAAGGGCTGCAACTAAAGATTATTTTCATGGTCAAACAGGTTCAGTATTATTTTGCCTTCATCAAATATCTATATTGATTACAGGAGGGAAAATAGCAGATAAGCACAATCAAAAGTTTCCAGAGTCAAGTTCGAACTGATTCTGTTGCTGCAATACAGAGAAAAAAAAAAAAAGCAGCAAAATCATCACAATTGAGAAGGTAATCATACAAACCTTGCTTGCCGACTGTGTAAAAGGTAAATAAAAACAGAACAATTGATTATGTGAATATTGGAAAACTGGGAGAGATACGAACTTTTCATTTTAAACTTGATGCCAAACCTTTGAAACTGGAAAAATACTTACATCCCTTTTACTTCTGCACGTTAACCACAAATATAAGGGTTTGTAACGGAGGTCTTAAGTGGAAAGTAAAGGAAGTTTTTTTTTTTTTTTTTTTACAATTAATTTATCTGTTCCCCTGTTTACAAATGATCTGCTGCACTTATTCTTGCCCTTTTATTCCAATAGAGAAATGTGTTTGAATCGAATCCCTTCAATCTTTAAAGCTTTTATGTTACGTCTCTTCCAATTAAAAACCCTGTCCCTTCTAGAGTAAAGCTGTCCCACATCATGATACTGCTAACACCGTGTTTTAAAACAAAAATGTTGCATTTAAACGGATGTTTACCAGACTTTTGATGGTTTTCATTAAGAAATAACATTTTTCTTTTTTACTTTTCCAATGAGAGCATATTGGTGGAGTGCACAGCTCACAGCTGTTGAATCTAAAAAAGACATGACTCCTCTGGTTTCGCCATTTTCCTCCAGGCTGCGCTCAGATTAACGCTGTCCTTGAGCAGCCTGTCAGCTCAGGTGGATCGTATTGGTCGGTGCTCTGTGGGCAAGAATGTTTTATAACCTAAATCTATTTTAATCTTCTCCACGACTCTATCCCTGACCTCTCTGGGGTTTTCCTAAATCTTTGTGTTTCTATTTCCTCCCTCATGTCATCCAACAAACTTCTGAGGCCTTTACCAATAAACTGGAGCTATACTAAGATTAAATTACTAACAAGTCTTATATTAAGGAAGTTTTATTACACAATTTGGATACATTTGGCACATTTTCAGATTTTACTTAGGAACATGTTATTTTTAACTATTCATTATTTGTTCCACCTTAAAATTATAAGTGTGTGGCTGTAACATGGAAAACTGTCAAAAAAAGGGTTATGATGTATCTTTGACTAAAGCACTGAGATTATTATTACAGTAATGCATATAATACAAAAGCTGTGTGGTTTTAATAAAAACAAACACATTCTGTTTTTAATTGCTTGTTTAATGTTCTTGGTTTTGAACTGATTTCTCCTGATCGGGTTGTTTCCATCTTTAACACATTTGTCCATGTAGTTATGAAACCATTAAAAAAACCAACAAGTTAAACTCCTACTAGTTATTTCTATGAGTTATTACTAAATTAAACAATTCTTTTTGTTGCATTTATTTCAGCACCACTAAGCTAGCCAGCTGGCATCAGGTTTAAAATGAACTCATACAAAAATGTGTCCAAGTTATAAAAAAACACAAAACAAAACTCATCACTTGTTTATATTTGACTAGCAGGAAGCCAGACATTCTTAATAGATAATAATATTCTAAAATAAACTAATGCAACAGTTGGCCAGGCTTTTTGAATGTCCTTAAAAATCATTCATTAGACTTTAGCAGCTTTTTCACAGATGTTCAGCTCAGCCTTGTTATCGAAACAACATGTCTTACAGTCGATCCTTAAAAATGAGGTAAATAGACAAATAAGATGACAAGACAAGAAATGTCAGACATAAAAAAAAATGATTTACAGCAGTAGAAATTGCATCAAACACCAAATATAAGATCTGACAGATGCTTGATCCTTCAGTTTATTGACACCATTTACTGTATGGGAAGCTTCAGCTATCAGCTGTTTCATTCAGTCCGACTCGGTCCACTATGTTAATGCTCATAGATTTGGCTTAACATTGGCCTAATTTTTACATTAGTTATTTGCTTTTTAGTTAATTTTTGGAAACATTTCTAATTTGATGGATTTGCCAATTTGTCTCAAACCTCAATATAGCCAAGGTAGCTTATAGACACCATCATTGTTTAAGCTACTTATTCAACAGATGACTCAAGTGTAGCGTCTGATTGTATCACACTTTGGTGATTTAAATAACAAACACCTGAATGTAAATCAATTGCATGTATTATTATCGAACTAATTTCTTCTAAACTCAGAATCTGATTGACAGCACAAACAATAGGTTTTGGATATAATAGGAAATAGCTAAGATAAGGGGGTTGAGCAGAAAAGAAGTAGACTGCATTGACTCCGCCTCTTATCCTATCAGGAAGTAAAGGTATAATTATCAGAAAGTAAAAAGGATTTTGTAAAACATGTTATGTTTTTTTAAATAATTTTGTCACCTCCCGGTTACACCCAGTTTTAAATCTACTAATGATTTGGAATAGAAAATATAATGTTCTAAGCGTGTCACTAGTAATCGATTATTATAAGCCTAAAAAGCCAAGAAACAGGTGAAGCTGTGAGTCTCACTCTCCGTTCCAAGGATATAGCGTCTCAGCAGTTAAATATTTTAACAGTGCAGAAGTGTCGGCATAGCTAAGGACTATTGTCAGTCGGTTATTGCGCCTTTTTTTGAGCAAAAGTTGTAGAAATGCTGTAATTGCGGTGCAAATATGTGCCATATATGGAATATTAGAGATATTGTAAAAAATGTTCTGCCATGTACTATAAATCTGTTGTAGTCTTTAGGTAGGTATTGTTAAATCTTTAGAGATGAGATATTGGAGCATTTATGATCTTAGAAGATGTATTTTTCCATCTAATTGAACTGTGAAAAACCATCCCTTATTAAAAAAAAAAAAAAAAAAGAAACAAGAAAAAAAAGTAAAGCACCAAGAAATGAACTTTAAAAACACTCAAAAAGCCTGAAAACGTATAGAAAAATTAATGGTAATTAAATATCTAAAGAAATAACAGATGACTCAGTCTTTTTTTTGTAGTGATGCATTTTTTAAAGAATTAAATCTATTTCTTCTTCTTAAAAATTTTTTTTTTCTTTTCATTCATTACATTTTACACAGCGCGCTTTCTCTCTTTTCTGGAGACAAGGCTGTAAATAAACCAGTAGTCGTCAAAATTAAACATTAAAACCACTTTTAATGATGAGAGGGTTTTGGGGCGTATTCATAAAGTTAGCATCGAGAAGTAAAGATTTGGTTGATTGTTCATTAAAAAAAAAAAATCCATTATTTTACTAGTGAAAATAGTCATAGTTGCAGTCCTCATCAAAGACTTCAAAATAGAAGTGAATTGGGAGAAATATCATGCATCATACAGACAAAGACATACACAGAGACAATATTGGCAAAATAAATTTTCAACACAAGGGCCACTTGTGCGTGTCTGACCGCGCAGCTCCATCTGCTTAGTAAGGCCATGTTTTATTTGTTTTGTTTTATTTAAGTTTGAAAAGTGGACTTTGTGTTGAAACTGTTTTTTTTTTTTTAAGGCAGCTGGATCTTGCGTCCAAAACGAAGCCTTTGAGTTCATTTCATACAGTTTTCTGAGGCATCAACAAGAAAGATCAACAGAGCAGCACAGACTCATGTTTGGTGGAAATGTGCAGGGAAGAAAGTACTGAAAAAACACAGCAGGAGTTCTCATAAATACATGTAAAATAGCAGGATAAGGGGAAAAATTACAAAAAAATCAGGAATGTTTCTGTACATAAAATAATAAATAAATAAACATCTTTTAAAGTGTTTCTTTTTTTTTTTATAATTTAATACATCTCTGCAGGGAGTCAGCAGGGACCTGAAGGTGGTGGACAGCAGGATTTCTAACAGCTGCGTCAGCAAACAGAAATCTTCTTGCTCCAGCGACAGAAGCAGAGCAAAGGAAATACTTTCTCCTACCTGCTGACTCTTTTAGTGGCGCTACAAAATACTGTCACAGGGAATAACATTCATAGAAGTCAAAGCACCTTTTGCAGGTCATCTTGCAGCTTCTTCAACATGGCCTCCAGCTGCGACACCTTCTCCTCGAGGTGGCCTGGAGAGTCGCTGTAGCAGAAAATAAGAGAAGCGCAAACAGTCAGAGTGAAATAGTTCTAACAAGTAAACAAAAGTAATAATGAATGATGAGAAACTTCCTGTCAACTCTGACAAACCGGAAACTTCTCCATTTGTCTGATTGGTGGTGCAGTCACACTTTTGCCTCTAATGAAAACAGCAACACTTTGGAGGTCCATTTCAATTAATTGCCCGTATGACTGATTGCTCTTATCCTGAGCGGCATTTTGGCAGGACTACAGTCATAAATAATGTCTACAACCTGCAGAGTGCAGGAGAAAAACTACAGCCTGCCGTGTCTCATACAGCTTCTGTGTCTTTCAGTTGTGGTGCCTGTTCTTGCAGAGGGGATTGTTGCTGGAAAAAGTTGTAAAATAAGGATTATTTTATAAGATGAGACATGCTGCCCTCTGCCGGATAATGTAAACGGACCATCTTGCAAATGTAGGCGGATAAGTCTTTGGTCAAAAACAGGCAGTCAGCAACAGCTAAGCAGAGGTGTTGAGACTAAAAAGAGCATTGCTTCATCTCAACATACTCAGGTTGGAGTTTGAAATTAAAACAACTGTGAGGAAGAGACAACTAAGATAAGTGCGTATTTTGTAGGAGCCCACCTGTCCTTTGAGTCCTTCAGTTTTCCGTCTGTCTGATCAGTTCCTCCTTGAGAGGAATCCCCGGCTTTGCGGTCTGAAATTAGGAAAATTAGGGTGATTACCATCAAGTTTGATCTCAGAATAAATGCAAATATTCTGTGAAGGCATGGAATGGTTTTAAAACAAGTAAAAAAAGAAAAAGAAAACAGCATTGTGATGAAGACCAAGGAAATAACTGCAGAGGAAGTTCAGAAAATACTCATATTGGAAAATCAATTAATACAATTATTAGTGAGGCAGCAAACAAATTAAATAGGAAACATGATAAGAGAATAAGATGAGACCAAGTCTGAACACTTTGCACAACCTGTATGTCTGACAGCCAACCTCATATCACCATGCAGGATAATGAGGGATGATTTTTTTTTGGAAGAGCCAATGTTTTCTCATAAGGACACAGAACAAAAAAAGAAGCAGAAAAAAAACCCGAGCAATAGTTTATCATTTAATATATCAAGAGAACGACTTTGCAGAACGGGATCTAGGAGATGAAGATTGTGATCCAACTCAACACAGCTGGAGCCGAGAGCAAGATTTTAATTTTTAAATCACTGTTAAAGTAAACCTGCAGATTTAAAAATGATGATTGCCCACGGAACAATCAGCTACAGTTTCTGTGCCAAACAATACCATCATACAAAACTAATTTGGTATTATGTGTTCAGAGGGGTTATAACAGGAAGCAGTTTTAGGGGACATTGGCCCCTGATGACAGTCCCTGCCAAGTACCGCCCACGCTGAGAATCATGACAGGATTTAAAGATTTATTTTCACAGATTCTCTCCATCCATTTCAACTGATCTGGAGTTATTTTTTAAAGTGCAATAAGAAAAGAACCACATCTACATGTTTATGCAGGTAGAGATATTTTTCAGGTTTTTTTCTGCTGTAATTTTAACATATTTCTACCAAGGTTTGAATCAAGAGAGCTAAAAGCAGATGTATGTCCCAATTCTTTCTAGAGTTTATGTGTAGTAAATATTTGCAAAACTATGTAAAAAAAAATTATAGAATCCACAAGGTGTTATCACCCTGAAAATACGGCTTTTTTGTATGTTTAAGTGTTTGTTTTGGGCTTTAGTTGTAACATGCCAGTAAATCAGAGCTGGGCTACTTGTTCAAAGCCAGGCTAATGAGCATGTCTTTCATAAAGTTTGATTTTAGTCCTCCACCTGGATCACAAGCGGCTATGAAAATGGGTCATATTTATTTTTTTCTCCTAAATGTGATTAAATGTAAACTTAAAGACAATCTAAGAAGGATTGTATAAGTAAAATACAAGGTTACGACTCACTTAACTGCTTCAGTACTTAAATTTTTTTCCTGATAAATTTAAAGCAAAATACAATGAAGTTAAAAGTTTAGATATGAAGAAGTACGGAGAAACCTTATAGGGTGTGAATACCTTTTTTTCAAGTTGCTGCATATATTGTAAGGTCCTGTTATTTCCAATATATATTGTTAGAGAATATTTTTCAGTTTGGTTTAGTAAGAATTTAATTAATTTCAAACATGTTCCTGGATCGGTGAAAATCATTGCTTATTTATCAGGTTAGGGCTTTAAACTCCTAATCATTTTTAGGTCAAAATAAGCAAAGGTTTTTTTCTTAGTTGTGAAAAAGATAAATTAATAAAAATGATCAACCCACTAATTTAGCCTTTCAAACAAATCATAAATTAAGAACTGAGGTTCACTGTTTATGGCATAACTACTGATTGGTCTTTTTTCTAACCTTACCTTCTTTGGACAAAGCCTCCAGGATGCTGCGACAGGCTGTCGCCAGGTCGGAGATTGACTGCCACTCCTCATCTGTCGAGTCTGTCGTCTCAGACAGAACTGCAAAAAATAATAAAATAATAATGAAAATCTACCATATGCAGTGTTCTATGTCTCTACCACCCCACCCCCTACATACAGACAGGTATATAGGACAAATATTGGATTGCAGATGTTGCATGCATCTGGGTTGTCTCTTGTGTTGTACTGACAAATAATACCCACTAGAGGGCAGTGTTGTTCAAATGCTGGACATTATCTTCTGGAAAACCATTAAGAGGCAGAATCCTAAATAGGATGTTTGAGGACAAGGTTTGATGTAAACAATCACTGAAAACCAAAAAACAAGATGGAAAACAAACTAACTCTAAATACTATAATTACCATGAACAGTTGCATATGAAATTAATACAAACATTTTCAAATACTTTTGAAGTACAGCAAAGATACTACAATTTTTACATTTGAACGCTCAAGCATATCTTAAATTTTATAATTGAGCTTAAAATATTTCTTTAAGTCCTTCTAACTTCCTGTAAATAAGCCTAAAACAATCTCTTTCAGCAGTAGCAGAGCAGATGGTGTAAGAGGGGTTGCTTGATTTGGGGGGGTAAAACCCCACCCTTCCCACCACCCATATGTCTCCCCTTTTATTCCTACCCATGAGGAGAGGGAGCAGCAGAGCAGGGGTGATATTAGATTAGCAGAATAGTGGGCAGCGTGGAGGAACAAAGAGGGCGCAGCTAGGACAGCAGGGGGATAATGAAGCAAGGGATTTAATGCAGGACAAAGCTGGAAAAAGCAATGTAGGGCTCAAATCAAGCAGCGATGATCTGTTAACATGTGTGCCAGCTGTTGTTTTGAAATAAAACTTTGTTTTGAGCTTAGAATCTGGGTCATAATATTTCTCAGCACAGATAACTGTCTGAATTGATTCTAACCACTTTAATGGAAAACAAACTAAAAAAAAAAGTATGGTTTCCTTCCCTAAAGATTTCGTTAGTTTTTAGCTTTTCTTGTTTCTTTAATATCTGGGACTATTGTGCACGTTTCATGAGGAGATAAGAGCAGATTTCAAATAAGTCTACTTTGCATTTTCGAACCATGAAGTCACAGTGGTAAACCAAACCTTTCTAGAAAGCTGAGTTCAGCTTCACTAGCTGCAACAATGCCTGATCGCTATCAGACCTGCCAATTCAAAAAACATTTCAATAGAAACTGTCAAAAGTCTTAACATATCTCTAACAGAAGCAATCAAAGGAACCTCATGAACAGGTAATAAAAACTCACTGACATATCACCCTGATAACGGTCACAAAGCCATCTCTACTCATTTCTAATAACAGTGACAGATGACCGTCATGGCCGCCGTCCTGAAACACATCATGAGACGCGACTGCAGCTGTTGCCAATCGTGCTCAAAGATATTTGAAGAGTTAATAAATCGGAGGGGTTTTCTGACTGATTTTTTAAAACGTCCCTGACAGAAAAAGCAGCAAGGATTTCACTAGACCTGACTGAAAGGATCAACTATAGGAAAGTCGTACTCTGCTAAAACGATGTTTTCCTTGATATCAAAAGTTGTTGCCGACTGCAGGGTGTAGCAAACTCTCTAACTTATAATCACTCAGTGAAACCCTCACTGATTGGTTTTGGGTTGTGAGGCAGCGACAAAAGCTGAACATTTTTCAACATTCTTGTGTGCACATCTATGTGTAGGAGAAAGTAAGGTGAAAACTTGAAGAATTTAGAACAAACGGTATTAGACGACCAATGCATTCCAGCTTTTGGACTACTGGTACCTTTATTTATCAATGCTGGCTCTTTAATTGAGTTTTTATGTTTTGTAATATATTTGTTGTTCAATATTATCCATGTGAAAAGTAATGAGTATGGCAGAGTTTCCATGCAGAAGGTTGTAACTCAGGATGTGTTTACACATGACATAGGTGAACACATCACTGAAGTGTACAGGCTATTTATTACCGCCAACTACTGGGCTGGGATGTAATGTCCTGAATTCCTTTAAATTCTAGACTCTTTATTTTATGCTACAGGACAATGGTCCAAACAATAACTGCAACGCCACCTCTATATGTTCCAGAACCTTTTTAACAAAGGTTTTTTAGAAGTGGAAGGGCCTAGTTTGAAGTTTGGACTTAAATTTGACTGAGTTGCTCTACTATCACCCTGAACAGACTGATCGTGCTCCAAAACCCTCCAATACTGCTGAAATAAAACAATCTTCAAACAATTGGCGTGGGAACACTGGTCATTAAATTAGGGGGCATTTAATATTTCACATACAAGCAATTCCCTTTGGACAGCTTTCTGTTTGAATGAAGACAATAGTGATTTGCAATATACAGATTGGATTGAAGATTTTAAACATTTAAGTTTGACCAAAAAACAAATAAAACCTAGAAATTTCTAAGGTTCTAAATCTATTTTCAGAGATTGGTATCCAACAAACTTTATCAGGCTTTTACTAGAGAATTTCTAAGAGAAAAAGAAAAGTTCTTACTCTTGGTAATGGAGTTATGAAGACTGAGGGCTCGGGAATTTCTCTCAGCTCGGTCTACACTCGATAGCCGGCAAGAGGAGAAAGATGAGTCACTCGCTGAAGCCTTGTCCTCTTCAAGGTCAAAGCCCATGAACTAAATCAAGAAACAGATGAGGATGAAGGATTCAGCAATACGAGACAATCAGACAACACGGGCAAAATGTTCCTCGGGCGTTGCGACTCACCTGCTCATCCTCTGGAGGAACTTTGGGTTTTACAGCCAGGATCAGGTCGGGCGTGGCGTCCCTCAGCTCCCCAACATTCTCGTATATGTGGTGCTGTTCCTTCATCATCGTGTTGCCGTACACGTGTCTGCATCAGGCCCAAAACACACACATACACAAATCTTTTCATCCCATCCAGTTGTTAAAAGCAGATCTAATCTCCAGGAGAGCTTAGAGTTGAACTCTGTTGCATCCACAATGTAACCAAAAACAGCATGTGCTTAAGTCCAAATATTAGTTTGTGTTTTATGGGATAGTAAAAAGCAAACTCAGCATGTGGAGCAGCTGAATTAAAATATTTAGCATGAATGTTATGAGTTCCTTCCTTAGCAGCTGAAAAGTGTGATGAATGTAATTAAACAGGCTGACACAGATAACTTGATTCTCAAGTGGATGATTATGAGACAACAGGCCAGACCATTATATGTAAATAAGCATATTAATGACAATATAAACCCAGGGTGTTAGATAATACCTGCTGTTTTTATAGATTTGCAGGTCAGCTAAGCAAACTGCATGAGTTGGAATTTTTAGGCTGGTCTGCTTTATACAAGGCAAAACCAGTAGTCTGTGTTTGGGATCATGGTCCATCTGGGTCTGACTTTAAACTACCTGCTGATCCAAATTAATGTTCATTCATGTTCTTTGGATGTAATTTTATGGAGTGACATTTGTTACGGTGCAAGAAAAGAACATGTTTTGTTAAAGGAAATCAAGAAAGAAAAAAGAGAAAAAAAAAAGGAATGAATCTATGAAAAACTTCTTAATCAAAAAGGGTTTTGAGAGAAACTGTGCTAGTTAACTTTATTTTAACATCATTTATTTATTGTCAATTTCTAACGTTCTTTATTTTCACATTGAGTTTAATTGCATTCTTTTCAAATTGCGTTTTACAGATCATTCTTTTCACTTCAAGCCCATCTGTAAACATCTGCACTGACCAGTAAAGATGTTGCTAACAACCATGCAGGCCAATAGAAATGCATCTCTGCTCCTCACTCCAGAGAAAAGCCCGCCCCAAGCAGTCAAGAGAATGTGATATGGAAAATGTTATTTTAAAATAATGCAATCCATAAAACTAAATCTGAAAGAGAGAAATTTGAATAAATAAAATATGTAAAATTCCGGTTTGAAAAAAAGAAAGAAAACATAAACTCTGAAAACCTTTTTTTGATTAAAAAGATTCTTCAAAGTTGTATTTCTGGATTACATTTTTATATTTAATAAACATTTACAAAATATTTGCAATGCTTGCCACAATCTTGGAACAAAACTTCCATGTAGTCCTCCTCATTTCAAACAAAACAAAAGTTGAACAATATGTTAGGTTTCGGTTGCTGCTGCAGGTAAACCAGGTTCTTCATTCACAGGCTGACACTGCATTACTTTTCAGTACAGAGGGCACTTTAATACGCATTTTGGCTCCCAAGAAGGCCCATAAGCACCTAATTTAGGGTAACATCTGATATAGTAAAGTAATTCCTTTAAGTTAGTTTAAAACAAACTTTAAAAAGTTTTTGATCAATCGATGTTTGATTTGAAAATTAATAAAATTAAAGATACAGGATACGTCAGCCTTACAGTAACACCGATACCCTTTATGAGGTTTAGCTCCCCTGAAAGCAACTGGTAACACTAAACTGTTGCAAAATGAATTAATCTACCTTCTATTTTGGAAGCTGATAGCAGACCACTTTGGACCAACAAATTAATCAGTTAATAAATGTCAAATTTAACTTGCACTTGAGTCAAAACTTAACCGGTGTTGCTTTAACATATTTTCATCTAGCTATTAAATAAAACTGAGCTGACATCAACAACAGATGTTTTTTTTTTTGTTTTA